ACATTACTTAGTTTCAACATTTAAAATTGGTAAACTTCATCTAATTTCCAAAACCTTTTGAAAGGTGAGAAGCAGATCTGGCAACACTGCACAATGTTCTCCTCTAGCCACTATTTGCTAGAGGTAAGTGGCAAATAACCTATTTAACTGAACCTGTAATATTTTAGTTTGCTAGACTTTCAAACCATCCACTTAGTTTATTCATATTATTTTATATTGGGAGGGGGTGGGAATCTGACCTGTGTAAACATTTAGTTGTGACCTGTTCTTTTATAGTCGTCGCTTTACACAGGTAAGGGGTAAGCTCCCAAGTATTAATGGAAGATAGAGAACGAACTGTGGAGGGGGCACCATGGACTATGGTGGAAGACTACAGTTGTCTTGGTAACACACACTATGGGTGTGGCAACACACATCTAAAGAGGAGTGATCCTACACCTCTGAATCATATAGTGCAAGGTAACACTGGTTTATAAGATCGTATATGATTCAGAGGTACTGGTTCACTCCTCTTCAAATGTATGTAAGAAGTCTGGAATGCCAGGCCTGCTCAGGACAGTGTTAGATCCACAAATATTGGATTATAATTAATGCTTGACTGAATAATATGAAAATAAGAGTAAAACAGAAACAAAACAAAAACACTGAAACCATTCCTTTCAAATAAGAAATTATCATATTTAAGTTCTTCCATAGTATGAGATGAAAACTGCCAACATTTTCCCAAATAAAATCAGAAATTTTGCTTCTAATTTTTCTTACCCATTTAGATAAAGTAAGTACATGAGTTAATCATCAGATAGTACCTTATAGATACCAGATGTTGTATTATAGGCACTAGAATATATGAATTAGAGTATTAAAACATTACTTCATGAAAGAAAAAAATTAATTAAAATCCTCAAATATTTAAATACCTTATATTGTTATCCACATCCCAACTGGTTAGTTAACAAAATAGGGTATATAGAAATTATAAAATTAATTTGTCATTTCAGGAAGTGTCAACCTTAGGGGGAAAAATGATGAGATGAGCTCCAAGTTATTCTCGCATCAGCTTCTTTCCTTATTTTTCCATATTAAATACTCTTCTCCCTTTCTACTCCACCAACCTAGATTCCCCAGAATTATATTTGGTTGTCCCAGGAAATGACTGGTTGCTGTGCTGAGCATTGCTTTCCTGCAGAGATCTATTGTTACCTTCCTTTATGACCACATTAAAACATGCCCTGAAAGATTCCAATTCCCAGCTTATCACTTGTATCTGCAAGAATACAAACATTGGCAATGAGATTACTGCTGAGCAGTTTATTAATTTAAACAAAGGCTGTTTCTATACTAGAAGGAAGGAATACTTATAAAATAAATAAATGCATAAATAGCTTCTCTTAACCTTAAGAAGCCTTCGGGATGACGTGTAGGGTAGCAGGGCAGACATTTTCTCCCAAAAAGGAGATGACAAGGAAACAGACGTAGCACATATTGCTCGGGTGTCTGGAGAAGCTACTCTGACAGAGATTTTCTCCATTTGGGGAAAAGCTACCATCACCAATGACAAACAAGTAAACTGATGATTAGAAATGCCTGCAACATACTTAAGAGAGCTAAGTTGTACAATTACTCAAATGTTTTAACCCTTAGTTTCTACTCCATGAAGCCCTCCTTTTAGCTCTATGAGACCCTGACATGGGCAGCTAAATGAGGGCACTTATAGCAAATAACTCCAGATCACAATGTTCACTAATAACCTTTCAAAACTTCAGCCAATTGGAAAAAAAATCACTTTGATATAAAGGTACATAAGGAAAGCAGAAGAATTTGGTCATTTCAAGACCAAATTATCAAACATTTCATCACTCCTGACAGTACAAGCTCATGCTCAGCCTGGCAGGCCAGAGGATCAGGGCATCTGACTGGGTTATCTGCTCACCTCTCCCAAGGCCAGGTTCCACAGAACCGCCCTCTCTGGGGGCCCCACGCTGGGATCTGTTTCTAGACACTCTGCAGTTGCTGGCAGAGGTCAGCGCTGTGCTGCGCAGGTCCTGGTCCTGACAACCCTTCACTTGTGGCCCCGCGTAACTCCCAGCACAATGTGAGTGCCCCCAAGTCAGAGTTGGCAAAAGTGAACGGAATACTTCTCCCAAAGCTTTATCTTCGCTCAGTCCTATTTTCTGCAATACCTTTCTCGACCTTCAGCAGGGAAAGTTTCCTCGCTTTCAGGATTCCCCAGGGATTACAGCAGGGCTACCCCGATTAGTCATCCTGTCTCAACTTGCACTTGGTCATATCTGCAAAGCTCCTTTTCCGAGTAACAGTTTGTGGTTTTTAGGATGTGGATACCTTTTGGGGGGCTGGTATTATTCAGTCCAACTCAAACAATTTCATTGAAAGTCTAAAAGCATAAAATGGGGAAAGCAAGGTTTTTATACATTCTGAAAACATTATTGTTCTGAATTACCCCAGTTCTCCCTACACGATAGAATCGCTTACTCTTCTCATATCATGTGGCGACTGTTCTGAATTAGTTGTCCTGATTACAACCTGATCTCATTTCAGTGAATTCAAAAATAGTTTGGCACTTTCTAAAAATATTCAAGACATACTTGACTATTATTGCTATGAGTCTTTTTGCTAATTTAAAATCTGGGTGACAAATATTACAGTAGCTATTTTTTTTCCTTCCAAGTGCGTTTCACCAGATTTTCTATATAGCCATTTAAAAGGAAAGAATTTGATTACCAGTATATTATGATTTCTTTAAATGTAACCTGCAAACATAATTTCCATTTATCCTTACTGAGAGGTGTATATGTCATGAATGTTACCCATCTTCATTCTATAACAGGGAACGCTACTACTCTAATAAAATGTCAGAAGACCTTGCTTTCAAAAACAGCAGATTACTAATTGACCTTTTTCTGTATTTGCCATACTATTTATCTTTTCAGCAGTTAGCTATCTTTCTGACAAGTGCATTTCTTAAAAATGTATATGACATTTAACTGTATAGAGTTATTTAGCATTGAATAATTTAATGTCATTTCATTTTGCTTCAACTTAAATGGTTGATTTAATTTTTATTTGCAATGTGCAATTTAGATGACTCAGCTTTTATTGGTTAATGCTTAAATCCTTTAGAAAAAGTGAGATGAGTATGTTTTTCACTTGTCAGCATAATCAAATGGGGCATATGGGATTGAGATTAGACCGCTAACTACATTCCACAGTAGAATACACTTGCTTTGTCTTCTGCCCTCCAGCTTGCGTGGTCACGCCTCTGCTACATCTTCTGTGGGGCTCCCTCTACAACTCCAGATCTACAATCCTTTCATGAGATCATCAGCTGAGCTTTTGGATTGATAACCCCACTTGTTTCTTGCTTTGCTATAAATTCCAGAGCTCATGCTTACCTTTTCTTTTAACCCTCTTCATTAACACTAAACGATTTCCTAGAATTGTACTGAAAATGAGTGGCAGTGTTCTTTATGAAAGCTCCAGAGAGCATTTTCTCTTTAAGTCACCTGCAGAGATAGGTAGGAGAAGGCTCACACCTCTTCTGTTGTTGGCGGATCTGCTCTGGCCCCTGTTCTGCCGCGGGCAGGGCAGAGGCTGAGGTGTGTGCCAGCAAGACGAAAGCAGCATCTCTGGGCCCAGACCCATGCCAGACCCCACTCAGACTCACCTGCTCTTGTGTTAGCGTTCGTATAAAGAAAATACCACAATAGGAAATACCAGATAACTACATATACTCTGAGATGAGTTTAATATAAAACAGCCAGTATTTAAAATTAACACATTTCTGCTGACTTCAGACATGTCATCATCAAGCAAAACAAATAAAAAATACCCTATACTTGACCAAAAGGTGTCTAGCAAGTGTGATCACTAGAGTTGTTCATACGTTTTTATTTATAAGCATAAAACCAAAGGTTTCCTCCCCAAATTGAGGGATTTGCTAATATTTCAGAAGATGTATTTTAAATGCAGGCCAGCCTTCAAAATGGTTCCTCAAGCCATCCTTAATGCTCTGTAACATATTAATGTTCTATCTGTGTGGTTATTTTTTAGTTTTTCCTGCATTAATCTCAAGAATCATAAAAATAGCCCAGATAATTTCTAGATTTTTACTAATTTTCATAGGTTTTTAGGGTGAATGGTAAAAATTACAGTTGCTTTAACTGCATGATGATAAGATGAGACAAGATGCAAGACTTGAATATTCCTTGTCTCATTTCTTTAATTGTACTAGATCCACACATATACCTGTGCTGTTTTGTTCATCCTTTAGAAATTGAATAACAACACAGACTTCTCCTGAAATGCCGTGAAGAATAATTAACAGAAAGGACTCCCTGAAGATTAACGATGTGGCCCAGACTCCTAGCTAAAGTTATATAAACACTACATAGAAGGAATGCATATAAATCTCTCATACATATTTTATACTGGACAACACAGCCATCTGGGAGAATGCAGGAGATTTATTGCCCAAGAGCTGCTGTTGTATGAAGTTCTCTCAGTGTTTTTCACATCTCAGTAGTTTTGTCTGGAAAGTTGTTTTAACCATCGTTTCTCATCCATTATCATTAACAAATTTCTAAGCTATGACCTAAGTCATCTGCATTAGCCATTTATTACATCATTCACTAAAGTTGTGGGTAAATTTTTTATTGCTTTGAAATCTATCATAATAAAATAATATATCATGGCTTTAAGCCCTGATTGTTATCCTTATTTTCTTTTAATAATCTGTTCATCTTCCCTATTTCTGTGTTATTCTTAGTGTTTCATGGTTTCAGAATTTACAGATTTTTTTTTAATGACATGTAATGGATGTTCTCAATAAAATGACTCCTTTACCTTAAGATTTCGCTTTCTACAATGACTTAGGAAACATGTTAGTATTAATAAATATTAAAGCAACTCTTTGTTTACATTTTTAAAATGTATTTTTCAAAGAATATATTTATCTAGAAAAAGCAGAAATATTTACTCTGTACCTTTAAATCACTGATGTCTCTTCCTGGTCATCACCAGTAATAGAGCTAAGTGCTGACATGGAGCTGGTGTGTAGCACAAGGAAATGACTGTCAATTCCACTGAAATAGAATCACAATTTTATTCTTTAAGTACACCAATTTTCTTATTTTTGGTTCTTTATACGGTTTATACGTAACATGTTCAAAAGACTGCTGATATCCATAGAAAAAGAAGACTGAATTAAGTTTAAAATAGATTTTTTTTAATTTTATTAAAACATAAACCCATGTTCATAGTGACAAATGGATGTAGCTATTCCACCAAGTCTTGCATTTCATTATTTATTTTCTGCATGATGACAAGAAAGAGGGTAACCCCTAAACTCTTCTACAATCATAGAGAAAGTGTCATCTTTGCCTTGCTGGGTAACAAAAGTAACATGGCCTATGTCTTAGGAAGGAGATTATGGTACATAATTTGACAGAGAAGGTGAAGCTTGAGTAAGCTGGCAGACATCACTTCGCATGCCACTGAGGACTACCAGCCACAACTCAGTAACTCAGTGTTACTCTAGCCCAGACAAGACTCGACTTGGTGGGGAAAAGATGAATACAAGAATTCCTATTTTAAGGAATTTATGATCTTATAATTCATGGACTCAGATCTCATATTAGAATAGCTCAGAATTGTAAGAGATATACAGATAGAGAAATACAAATCAGAGTGTGATTTTTGCTTCTGTTCATATGGAGGAAAGCAAGGAAACTTTAGATAAACTTTAAAAGACCTTGAAGAAGAATACGATTTTAGCCGAGAAAAGACATAGACATTTCAGGTGGGAGAATCAGCATAACCTTGGATAAAAGATTATTGTCTAGAAAGAAATATGATCATAGCACTTAAAAAATGAATGTAGATAGTTGTGGGGAAATGTGCATTTTATCTTATTTCCTGAATTAAATCAAAAACCAAAAAGTCACCAAAGGCCTGCTGTGAAATATAAGTCTCTTTCTCTAATATCCCACAGCAGAGTCACATGATTCTTATGCATCTTCCCAAATATGTCCTATGTGCTCAGTCATATACATTAATTCCTACTTTAAATTTTACACGAATAAACCCTCCCTTATTGTTTTAAATAGAGTCTCTCTGTGATTGCCCCTTATCTACTACATTCCTCTTAAACCTGTGTGAAATGAAAGTTGAGTTGACTAATTTCAGCAAAGCAATAGGACTTACAATCTGTTTGTAACAATTTGTACAGTGGATTTTTGAGCAGAAAGTATAGCCATCTCATGCGGACTACTTTCAGTGGCAAAGGAAGAAGCAAAAGAAAATAATTGCAAAGAACTGTTTTAGAAGATAGCAAATTATCATGGGACTAAATCAGCTTTGGTGGTAGAAAGGCTTCTACTCAATTTCAAATTTCACCATTTATTGTCTACAACTTTGAAATAATTACCTTTCTTGAGCTTCAGTTCCACATCTGTGCAACCAAGAACAAGAACTAAATCACAGGATCTTTGTAATGCTTAAATGAAGGGACAGCTCCTGGCCCTTAATGCATTTATTTTATTTACTAATTATCCATCATTTAAAAACAAAAGCCTGTGGTTCTCAATGTCATTACTGTCTCTTCATGAATATGTGTCCTACTTGTGTGCAGTTTTCACTGTTGCTTTACCTATTTATTATCTTGATTTTATTTATTATTATTATTTATTTATTTGCTACTGTGATCACTTGAACAGAGTGCTTTGGGGCTTCACGAGGGTAATGCCAGCAGCTGGAAAGCACAAACTTCAAATTACTGACTTCACACAAAAGCCTGATGTGACCCTGTTCTTGGGCAGCTTTCCCCCACAAAGTGACTCACAAACCCACATTCCTAATATCTCATGACTCCTCCAGGGTTTAGAGCCCCTGCTTCCAGAATGTGGAAATGGAAGTTGAGGAGAAGCCCCATCTGCTCCTTAAATGCCTTCATCAGAATGTGATGCTCCTCATGTCTGTTCACATTTCACATGCCCACTAGTGCATGAGGCCAGCTACCTTTCAACAACTCTGCACGCTAGAAGGAGGAGCATAAATTTTGCTTGATCGCTGGCCATTTTGGTTACAATAGTCCAACGTTTGTCATTCACAAATGAGGAAACTTAAAATCCCGCAATTGTTAGTTCAACAAAGATATTTATTGCTTACTTATTATGTGTTTCGTGTAGCTAATGCTACTTAGCAATACAGTGGGTAGAATGTGATTAAACTTCGGACAGTATGAAAAGAGAAAATGTTAGATTATTGTTCTGGGCAAATAATGATGTTGGTCAATATACTGTCACTTCATTATAGGGCATAGAGTTTCATTTTCCCTTTTAAAATGTTTAGCATTTAAGAATTATCATAAAATATGACATTATTAAGAAGATTTATGATTTTGGTGCCAAGTCTTCATTGAGGAACTTAGCACCTCGGCTGCATATATCAAGATAATGAAACCACATTATCCTGCTTCTGCGGCCTTCAGAATACACAGCAGGAAGGGGGGTTGCTCCGTGCAAGCCGGAGTAACTGCACCAAGTGTCATCTGCAGGGAGGATGCTAAAAGTTTTATACCTGTATTTGCAACTTATTCCAAAATTCCTATTAATCTACACAACTAATTTCTAAGTCTATCTATACTCACATATTGACGCAGTAAGAAAATTACACTCTCTGTGTACAAAATATTGCTAACTTATTAAAAGACATTGTTTATAAGGGACACTATGATATAGAAAAAAATCTTCCATGTAGATGTATCAATTACCAATATAACATCACTATAGCTATAGGGATATTTTACCAAGAAGAGAAAACTGTTTTGAAATCAAGATTGATTAACCCAAGAGGCAATATCATGTTATACAAAAGGCAAGATTTATTTACTCAAGTGCCAAGTGAGCCTGCATCGCTTAGTGGAGTCCCCCTGCTGGAATGAGTAAGTCATCCCAGTTAATGTATGCTCCATCCAGTCAGGGTTCTGACGCTCAAGTAGGCAACCCAAGCAACTTCATACCTCAAAGATAGATTTCTGCTTGTGAGAAATTTCTCTGTCGCTTAGGAAAGAGTCCCAGCCTTATAAAGTAAAGGAAAATGGCCAAGTGGGAAAGTCATGGATCCTCTTCTCTGATGTAACCTGGGTGTCCTGAGCAGAGCCTCAGTGCCTCCCGCAAAGCGTGGGCTCAGTTGGCAGTTGAGAAAATAAATCTTGCTATTTGTGTAATGCGATATTGCCAGCAGCAGGAGATAAAGCAGGTTTGGGAGAGGCCTGTCAGCAAAAGCACTGAACATACTGTGCATCCAAACACTCGGTCTTTGAGAAATGTTTATTGTGGACTTTGAAAGACTTGAGGGCATCATCTGTCTTTTGATTAGGAAAATTTACCTGTCGTCAAACATACAATTTTAAAATTATTATTCTTTGAAGAAATCAGGTTTTCATGTGTTTATGATATGCAACCAGACGTTAATGAAGTTGGTGCCAGGTGTCTGTGTGGGGGAAGTCAAGACATAAGCCACCTAGCTACAATGGAATCTTGATATTTTAAAAGTTTTTAATTTATTTTTCACATTTGTTTCCTTTTTTTAGCCTCCACCCATGCCTATACCCCACCCATGCCTATACTCCACCCACGTCTCGCTCCCACTTTTTCCCCATCCCCTCTGATAACCATTATCTTCTTTTTACTAACTTCAGATTTTTATTTCATCTATTGTTTGTATATAATTGCTTTTTGGATAATCATGTTGATTTGTCTTAATTTTTTTTCAGTCCTAAGTTATACATTTTTGCCACAAGCTTTAGGGTAATCAGTGAATACTACTTTAGGAAAACCAATTTTTGAGGAATGAGTCAGTTTTTAAGGTTGGTGACATAGAAATTCAATATATATTTTAGGAATTGGAAGACTGTTGATTAAATTACAGTATAATTTCTACAAAATTCTTCATAAGTATAAAACATCTAATTGCATCTCGGTTTTTACCAAAGACATGTAAGTGAAATATCTCTTATCAGCCAAAAGTTCATATTTTTTGTTCATCTATTATGTCAGTTTGCATATATTCTATTTCATTGCTCACTGCTGAAATATAAATTTATGTGCTAGTGTGGATAAAAACACAGTTATGTTCAATTATAAAATATTATATGCAGTAAAAAATATCCATTTGTTTGATTAAGGGGTCTATTTTAACAAGGATTTCATAAATTACACTTAAGTTTTTATATCCCCAGATCAACATCAACATTCTTCATACTTTGAAAATATAAATAGTAAAATATGAAGGGTAATATCTTTATAATATTAACAATGGAGGCCTTGCAGCCCATTGTTGGTTTTATTCTATTGAAAGTAGGCACACAAATTAGTACCATCATCATTTCCTGGGAGCACATTAAAATACAGCATCTGCATTTTAACAGGATCCCCAGGTGACTGCATGGTCATTAAATTTGTGAGAAGCTCCTCTGGTCTATGCAACCACACCTTCTTTCTGCTTCCTTCTTGCTAATAGGAGCCATATTTTGTTCCCATTTTGGTGGTCATGTTCATCGTGATCATTTCCCAGCACTGGGCAACAAAGGTTGGTTAGACCACGCCAAGCATGATAATTGAATTTCCCTTTTCTCTGCCTACTTAACAATAAGCATGCAATGCCACCCTAAACAAAGTGGCACCGCAAACATTTGGGCACTCATAGGGGAAAAAAAAGTCAAAAAGTTGCACAGAATAAGGAGTTGGCTCTTCTTCTGCGCGGGACACTTTCCTCCTGGAAGCATGCCTGCAGGGCCGTGGTCCTCGGGGGCCGTGAGGAGGCGGTGGGCAGCTGAGATGCCGGCTAGATAATTTAAGAACTAGGGTTCTTGAATGCAGCCCAGGAGCCCCCCTGCCGCACCCCTGACAATCACATAATGACCCCTGGTTACTTACCCCACTTTCCGCTGCTCTCTGATTCTTATCCAAACAGACATGTCACCTTATAATAATCCTTGGGATCAACAGCTACATTAACCACATGACTTGTCCTTAGATTTTCTGTTACCTACCCCACAGAGGGGATAACAGTATGGATGTGT